CTGTGCACACTTCAGCTATTCTAAGCACTTCAAGAATTTGGCCATAAAGAAGTAAATCCTTTACTGTGATATTTTTCGGATCGTAGACTGCTAGATCTTTTGCTATATATTCTAGGTTGTCTGGATTTCTAATACGTTTTGACAAAATCTTATCTAATATCTTGCTATCTATATATCTACGGTTTCTATCTCCGAACCCTCTGATATGTTGAATTAAATCTGTATCCAATGGCAATCCTATTCTTGTTTGTACTTCCATTTCTAGACTTTCTTGTTGCTCGTTCATCTATTTGATAATAAATTTTTATATAATACAGGTTACTTGTTAATATCAATCTAAGTTACATGTCAAATTTTTTTTTTTTTTATCTTTATCTTTTTTTGCTATCCTAAAGGTTCTTAAACATTTTTAGAATCTGTCACATCTCGTAAAGGTCATAGTTATCATTCTGTGAAGATCATCAAATGATATATGACTATGTATGTCATTGAAATATGAAATAACTCATGTTTTATTAAGTTCACTATATAAAATCTCAGGTCCTTAGTTTCACAGTATAAAACCTACTATCACTTTTGGTCTGCAGTTCCTTAACTTCACATAACCTACCAGCCAGATCATCTGTATATTTTTGATATTCTTAATTTTACATATTCTTAAATCAGACTCTCTCAATATTAATATCATTTGTTGACTGATTACACTTTATCTGATTGTTTTCAACCCTGTAACTATGCCAGTCACTGCATTCTTTTCATATAAATCTTGTTCTTGCTTTTTTAAGTAAAAATTTTTGTGGATCTTTTTCAATTGTGGTCCTGGCAAAGTTTTTGTCACCCTCTAGACTTGAACTTGTGACCTTGCGATTGAGACCCAGGAGTGCTAATCACTGCACTATTGACCCACAGGTCACATGCTAAATTTTTATAAATTTTTATATATCAAAATTCTCTTATATATATCAACATTGATATGATTTCTTATTAATATCACTATCAGCATAATTAAAACCAATTCAAATAGGTTGATATTAACGAAGATGACCTGTACTTGTTATTATATTTTATAATATAAATAATAATAAAAATCTGATTCTAATTGTCAAGTTTGTTATATATTTAACAAAATTTATTTGCAATATTTTTAAAATTCTAAAAATAATACGGAAATAAATATAATACATCATTTATTATTAATAATACTCTTAAATACTTTGAAGAAATAATCATTAATACTAATTATGCTACTCAAAACATTTATATTAGATTTTATTTTCCTTTAACAATCATATTAATACTTTATTAAAATTCTTAAAACTACATTTGCAATTATATGAAACTACTTAAGTTCAGCATCACCTAACCACCCAATTGGTACCTAAGTGCAATCTTTAATATTAATTTTGCTTAGAAGTAAACTGCTTGTCAAAAGTCTTCTTTTTGTGACAAACGTTGAAATTGTCTTTATTGCTTCCTCTTCTATTCGTGTTATCTCTTTTTCTTGTTTTTTTTCCTATTTAGAGCTGACTCTTGTTTGTTCTTCATTCTTGCAGGTTTTCACTCTCATGCACCCATATTATAAAAAATTTCGCTATACTAATCAACTTTGAATCGAAATATCGAACCTTCGTGTAACAAGAATAAGGCTTATCATTTTTAGATACCCGAGAGTATTGAACACGATTTTTTACACTTTTTTTTTATGTAAAATAAAACAAAATTTTAATTAACTACAAATCACCAAGTTAATCAAATACTTTTGAGATATCTTTTTGATATTCATCGTCAAGTTTCTTTTTTTTTCGCCTATCAATCTCCTCTAGTTCTTCTTTTTCGCGTCGTCTCTTTTTTGAACTTTAATAAAGTAATTATAACAATTAAGATCGTAAAAGATAAATAAAACATATACTAATTCACTTACATAGCGCTATTCGGATTTTTCTCCGGGTTTTTACACTTATGTAAGCGAGAATCGATTTCTTTTGCTTGCTCAACATTTACATTTACGTGGCTATTAATTGTATCTTCAATTTCGTCAAGTATCTTATGAAGTTCAATTACTTTTTCTTTGGGATCGGATTTGAATTTAAACTGGAGATAGCTAATTATTTGTATCAAAATAATAAAATAATTAGAAAATCAAACATAAAAATACTGAAGCTTCAAAATAATCCATACATTTTTTCCAAGTCATAATTATCTTTTTTAGCGGCCATTCTCAGCGTCGCCAAGGCAATTTGTGATGGTTGATAAATAAACATACAATCAGTAAAAAGAGATTTGTTGACAAATTCAAGAGATTTCTCGTATAGTAACTTGATGTTAGGAATATCCTTTATGAAATTCTTTAAAAGAATAACTATAATAAGTACATAATAAGATAATCATCCGATATTTAATGACAAATTATAGCTATTACCTGCATATCTAGAAACAATCCAAATAATGCCAAATATGGATGGTGAACCGCGTATTCATATCTCAAACTTCGAGACACTACCAGCTCGAGTTCAAATATCGTTTCCTTAGGAAGCTTAACCACCTTAGTAAATTCCTCAATAGCAACGAAGGAGTGTTCAACTTTGGCAGCGAGAAACAGACAAGTGACGCTGTTTTTATCCAAATTATCAACACATCTTTTTTTAAAAAAAAACAACAAACGTTGCTTTCAATGCCAAATCTCACATTTACATACATGATTTCTTTAGGATGATAATCCATTACAGTATTTCGCAAATAGAATCTTTTGGCAAAAGTTATCGCAGTCGCCTTTGAAAAAGGTTAAAATTTTAACCCAAGTAACAGTATGTGATGCATCATTTAAGAGATATCTTTATTTTGCATGATATTTACTTTTACTTTGTCTGTGAATTTATTCTCGATAACTTCTTTTGGAAAGTAATTTGCCATTGGAGGTATCCGAGTTTCGTAAAAATTGCATAATGCCAACTCATCTTCCAAAGTTAAATATTCGATCTCTACCGGAATCAGGCGTGGTGAATCTACACTTTCTGTTTGTTCACTGTGTGCAGAAGAAGCGTCTAAAGTTTGCTTTTGTAAGATCTTTGAAAAAGTGATTTAGTAAACGTAAATCATATTTTTCGATATTTGTCACTTATTTGACATATTCACGTACTGATTCTTCTAACACTTTTTTCTTTACTCTTTCTACAGCTAGTGTGTGGTTATTTTCACGAGTTTCTTGCAAATTTGCTTTTGAGAAACGCCAGTTACGATATTGGGATGTTTCTGTATAAAGTTCTTTCATCATAAAATTAACTGAATCGAGAAAGGAGAATATACCCAATTAATTTCAAATTTACCAATCAGAATCAAGCATTCAATTCACAAAATATTATATAAATGCACAATTGCACAATCCAGCTTTTATCCGGTTATACGTATTAAAAAAAAACGTCAAAAATGTCAAGCCACAAAGAGGAAAGAATTATATTGAATGTTGGCGGAATTAAGGTATGGTATAAAAATAGTTTGCCTAAATCACATGATATATTTACCAAATAATCTTGAACTTTATCGTTATATAGTACGAGACATACCGTTCAACGCTCACCGCTTATCCTGATACAATGCTTGGTACAATGTTCCAAGAAAGAAATGGTTCGTTACTTCATCCGACCAACGGCAATGAATATTTCTTTGATAGAAACGGATATGCATTTCGTTTCATAATTGAGTTTTATCGCACTGGTAAGATTCTTTGGGAAGAACCAATAACATACAATAACACAAGTTCTTTGATGGTCACTCGTAATGAATTACATGAAGAAATAGAATATTTTCGTATTCCATATAATCTCGGTATTGATAATAGAAGAGTGCGGTTCAAACAACGACCAGCCGAGGTTATCGATGTATTCGTGTTAGTGCTAGAATCATTTATTGACATTGCCTTGCAGGAATGGCATGGTGATGTCAAAATATATCTTTATGAGGATATGATTTCTTTCAAGGCTTTTTTTGATAATGAGGACGTGTCGAATCGTCAATTTGCGGATCCAAATGGTTTCAAAGTTTTTAAAAGGATGGGATATAAAATTTTAAATTCTTTTGCTAAAAATATTGCAGAATATTTTAAAAAATTGATTCCTGGGCTTCAATGGGATTGTCATCATTTCGATAACCAAATTCCACAGGTCAAACTGACTCACTACGCTCTAAAAATCTCATTTACAACTCAATATTCTTCAGAAATATTAGAATGCACAAAATTTTATTCAAGTTTAAAGCTATTAGATGATGTTTAACATTAGGCCATCAATCAATAATATTATTATAGAACTGTCATATATCTTCATAATTTATAATAATATAAACGAATTAAAATTTCACTACATAGAGTAATTGTGTTAAACACGATTCACTGTCCAATCAAAAACCGTGCGACTAAACGTGAAAATTCAAAACTTAGTATTCCAGGTTTTGGCGTTTTGCTTACTTTTATCGTCGATCTAAAGTTGAACCGTTTATAAAAATTAACCATGAATAAAAAGCAAGAAGAGCGACACCTTAGGTAATGAATATATATTACCTTATACATTACATTTTATGTCGTGATTTTCTTATTGTCAATATATATATATAAGAATAATTATAGATCTTTTGAAACAGCCAGAAAATAAAAAATGCTTTGATTGCCCGATAAAGGTATGGAATTATGCTCCTTGATGAATTTCAATTTAGAACATTCACGTTGATCATGGAAACTTGCGTTATTAACTTCCTTTCTCACCGCCTAGGGACCAACATATGTGAACCTTTTTAACAATAGCTTCGTGTGCGCTAGATGTTCAGGTTTACAGTGAGTCAAGCCTGTCTAATTGATTTTATCTTTTATTTTAGTCGAAATTGATATTAATGTCCCAAATATTTAATAATTCACTAAAATCTAGTCGAGAGTTAAATCATCGCGTTAAATCGATATCAGCATCAACTTTTTCTCCCACGGAAATTGATTTATTGAAAAATGGTGGTAATGCTGTAAGAACCATATGGTTTTTTTATATGATGCAAGAAGTCTTAACATTTTATTTCAATTTTAATATTTTAACTGGTAACTTTATCATAAGTACTATAAAGCTATTGGTGGAATTTGAGTTGGAAGGTTTTAAAATTGAAACAATCTTAAAGACTTTATGTACTATATTTCAATTTGATCCTTTGGATTTAAGATAATTCTCTGTTGATATTTTTAGAAAGCTGCAGAAATATGGCTCGCAAAATATAAGTGGACAGATTTTCCTGAGCCCGATTCGGAGGATATTGATTCCATTAGGAGTTTCATGCGTATGAAATATATTCAAAAAAAATGGTTGGATGAATCCCTGTTACCTGGACAATCTTTGAAAATATCTACCAACGAAAATTTGGATGTATGTTAAGGCCTATACTATCATTTTATGGCACTAATATTAATGCATGCCCCTTTGAATTTCCTAAAAATTTGACAGGGAAAAGAAACATTCATGATTAATCCTCCAGCTCTGAACCGCAAATCTAGCAATTTCACTAACAATTCTTCGAATGATTCACTAAATCGGAATTCTAGCATAGCATCCAATGACAAAAGAAAATCTTTAGTGGGTGATATGAATACTCTCAAAGTAAAATTTTGTTGCATGTCATCTATTTCAAAATTTATTGATTCATAGTTAAATCAATCCTTCAAGACCGCACTAGAAATTAATTGGAATAATAATAATAATTCAAACGAGAAAATGATCGCTAACATTCCGATATTGCCAAGACCGAATGCAAGCAGTCTTACTATTAATACACCAAAACAAACATCCAATATTTTATCAAACTCAGGCCAAGATCGTGAGTCTAAACCGGAAAATGAGATCGACGATTTCTTCTCTTCATTAAATAACACATCAACGCAATTTAGTGCATCAACACAAGCCATCTCAAGAAATAAAGAAACAAATCCTTTTGGTAATGATCGACACAATTCATTGATTTCTATTTGACGACAATGTAGCTGATGTTTAGTTTTTTTCAGATACTGTATTGTCAACTGCACAAAAGTTAAAGTCAGATCCGTCAACTGACACTTACCAAGAATTTCAAAATTTAAGTTTGGCAGGTCTTGTAACTTTACCTGGTTTGCATTTTTTGTTGTTTTATTAAGCCTTCAAGTTCATTTACAAATTATTTACGTATAATTAATATTTCTGTCATTTCTGTTTACTAGCTTCATCACAACGATCTTCGCGTAATAACCCTCAGATCACATCAAATTTTCAAAATGCAAACGTCATCGATCTCTTTGGCAATTCTGTATCCTCGTCAACAACGAACCTAAATAACATTTCTTCTAAAAATGTTGATAGCGATCTTTTTAGTGATTTCCAGACACCAGACTTAAATTCGAATATCACTGACTCACAAAACATAACATATCGACAGAAAACACCTAACCAAATAAATTCTTCACAACCGAGTGCCATGTCGCCTAATTCCAATACCTTTACTAAAAATCCTTTTCCTACTCATATATCATCAAATTTATCATCTGCACGGACAAGTACTTCGGATTTGTCATCTATACTTTCAGGTTCACTTTCTGAAAACTTTAGTATGGGAAGCCTTACTAATAATTCTAGTGATATTAATGGCCATAGAAGATATTCTGGAGCCCATAATTTATTGAACAGTGGAATACAGCAACCGGACTCAACCCTTACAGGTTCAGGGAATCTATTTCCATTCGTATCCCCTGTAGCCACAACAGTGATTTCACAGCCACATGGATCTGGTCATACTAAGAAAATATCTTTTGATACAGCATTCAGCGACTTGGATCCGCTTAAAAAGCAATAATGTCAGTTGAATTTTAATCTTTTCATTATTGGACCAAATGTAATAGTTGCAACAAAGTCATGTATAGTTTTTTGATACATTGTACATTAGAACCACATGTATACATTATATAATTACTGTGTATTTGTAAATTTGCAATAATAAATTTGTTATTTAACACGATAAAATCTGAACATAGTGACTAGAGTTTCGCGTGTTTTATGATAGAATTAGAATTTAAATGAATTTTATTTAATTTCTTTATGATAAATCTTATATATAAAAGGTAGCCGGCTATAATTGATATCTTTGAGTAAAAAAGAAAGAAATCTTAAATTGTAGTGTGTTAGGTAGATTGGAATTCTAAAATAACTATAAAGTACTTCATTGACCGACATTTGATATATATAGTTTTCTTCTTTTTTTTAAAAAAAAAAAAAAAGGAAAAGAGTTCGTCCGAAATTGTTTCTTGATTTGTATATACGATATATAATATTGGGAGGTTATTTACAGATAAGTTTGATATCGATATATGAGAAAATAAAAGAAAATTTACTAACACTATAATGTTTGAAAAATAAATATTTAACTTATATTAAAAACAGAAAAAAAAATAAAAAAAAAACGAAATTTCCAAAGTCCGATAATATTCCACCCAAAAGCCAGAAAAAAAAAAATTTTCATAATCGTAACGAGATTAAATGTATGTATCTATATTCCATATTGTCAGAAAAATCGGTTTGAATAAGTATTAATTGAAAAGCTTATAATAATAATTGTTCGCTTCGCGTTTATTCTTGATTGTTTTGGTAATAAACATCAAAAGAGTTTTGGTTCACATCAACACCAAAAGTAAAAAAATCGAGGCCAGATGTATTATTTTGCGAATCAACATTAACATTTGATGCAAGCACAATTGTTGGAGATAGAAACGAATTTTGTTGTGCATAGTATTGCGCATCAGGATTTGGAAATATTGGAGACGCTGAAGGAGCGAACGGGGAACCGCCAATTTCTGAACCATCATCAGATCCAGTGCCGGGTATTGGTGATTGTAATGTCATGGTAGCAATTCCACTTGCCATTCCATTTGTTACTGTGCCTGAAAGAGAAGGTGACGGGGATACCGATCCGGACATTGAAGTAGTGGTATTTATCGATGAATTATTGAGTTCAGGGGAAAGCTGCATTCGTGCAATCTCATCATATAGTTCCGGTGAAATGATCGTAAAGGAAGATTCAGGTTCGCAACATGATAATGTGTTTTCAGCAATCATCTTTAAACTTGAAATTATGGTATTCGGGTCTTCGTTTCGTAATAGCTTTTCAAGAAAAGCTTTCATTAATTGAAGGCACAATTGTGTACATCTGCTTTCTTCAATGGATTTTCTCAATTGTCCATAAATTTCTTGACTTTCTTGACAGTTGTTAAAATAATTGTAGCAATCAAATAACAGGCTTTGAATTTGTTTTTCTAATTTCAAAATTTCGATGGTATATTTAAGTTGTTCAGATTTTTGTTTAAAATCATTATGGGTTTGTTTCAAAGATTTTTCCAAATTGTTGACTTGTGTGTTTAGTTTTTCAACCTGACGATTTTTTCGAGGTGATTTATCGAACACGCAAGTTCCAGCATCGCAATTTGTACATGGGGAATCTTTCTCAGCATCACCATCGCATTTTATTTTTAGTTGACGACATTTTTCGCAAGCTCTTCTGTTAATCGTGCCACGAGGTTGTCGGCGAACTACACGGGATTCACCAGCTGTTAATAATGTTTGGTTCTGGTTCATATTTTAAGCTTATAGTCAAATAATGGTTTGTATGCGTATATATACTAAATATCTATCTATCTATATGCGTGTTTATATTGACCTTAATTATAATATATTTATTTGTATTCACACAATTCATGTAAAGGCAAATAAAATAGATCGAGAGATGTGTTATTCGATGGGCTTTCAAAGCCAATTTTAACACCAAATGTTACGAGGAATGTTTTGAAGGAAACGAAAGGTATGTTAGATGTTCGTAAACGATCAAAATAAGAAAACCTCAAAATATAAGAGCAGTCTTGATAAACTGTCTTTGAAGAAAAGAAGATGCAGAATTATTCCGGCTGACTTTCACAGCGAATTTACGAAATTTATATTTTTTTGCCTTATGTTGACAGTGGGTTTTTACGTATTGCAAATTTTTGATGTACCAAATATATTACTATTCGTATGATTTGGTGTTCTAGTTTTTGGCTGACTCGTTTGTTGAAATCGGTTATTTTTATGACTTTTTTGGGTTACACTAGCCACGCTTGTGGCTGATAAAGTTCCATGAAAACGTTCCATTTTACCGTTCGGCTGAGAAAATATTTAAGTTTGTAAAGCCACACACGTACAAAAATAGATGTTCAATCAATTTCTTTCACTCGCCACATTCGCCACTATCCGATCTGCAATCATACCGATAAGGTTGATTCTACATGGAAGAATGTAAAAGAATAATACTAACTAAATTTGTAATCATCCGGAAAATAGACTACGATGATCAAATTAAATGGTTCATTTTACTTTTAATATCAGCCACTACTAGAAATCAACAAAGTGTTTTGGAAAGGGTGATTTTGAATACCGGGTAAAAGCGTAAGATAATGATCATGTTTCAAAATTTCGAATACTATTGCATACTTTGTAGTGTTAGTATGAATACTTGGAACCTTCTAATTGATTATTCCATCGTTTCATTATTCCAATTAAAGGACTTTGTGGTTCGATTGAGATTTTCCTATTATTCATGTGACCTATATGGCATTCGGCCGTTTCACGATTTATCTACCCTGATGGCCCGTTTTAAAATCTGTGATACAAATGTCCTCTTTTCTTTCATTTTTTTATAGAAAAAAAGCAGGAAAAACTATTATTATTTTCTGCGCACGATTCATTCTTATTTTTTTTCTTTCCTTTTTATTTATTTTATTTATTTTGTTTAGTTTTTTTTTTTTTTTTTTTTTTTTTTTTTTTTTTTTTTTTTTTTTTTTTTTTTTTTTTTTTTTTTTTTTTTTTTTTTCTTTTTTTTTTTTTTTTTTTTTTTTTTTTTTTTTTTTTTTTTTTTTTTTTTTTTTTTTTTTTGCTGATTTATGTTATACATATAAAATTAATTTCTGATTTGAACTATTTACATATACGTATTGAAGTTTAGTAATTCGAATTATTATCTAAAAATTATTTTTTAACTGACCAATCTTTATGCTATCTGCTTAATCATAATTATTGTACGTACGTAACATAAACTTTTTTTGGAATACTTTGAATGATATGTACGGCATAATTGCATACACACGGTCATTATCCGCAGTCAGCGATCTCAACTTTGTTTGGGTATGTACTGTATTTGTAAATGCATCAAATAATTGGCAAAATAAAGTTCGTCTACGCAAACACATGAGAAACAACAAGCCTCATATTACGTATGTATGTTACGATAATTTAGTACGTACACAAATATCTAACTAAATTTGTGCTACCTTATGATCGTTAAACTCTATATGCGTATCGATATAAAGTACTACGTACGCATATATATACTGTATCTATACGTATATTTGCATAATTTTGCAAAAAATATAAATACTAAATTAAAAACCAGATTAACACTAAGTAATGCGTAATGCGTAGCATATTTGAGTGATCACATATATTCAATCAATAAGCCAATCCAAATCACAGAAGCGGGGCAGTAATTCTTCAATGTGTGTCAGGTTTGTGGCGCAGATTTTCTGAACTACGAATCAGATTTCAAGATCAGGCACGATCAAAGAAAACATCCGTTTTGTCATTTCTCAAAAATTAGCATAAGAAATCACCTTTAAAGCTCCAATAAAAAGGTTTCGTTGTGCAATTTATTATATAAACTATATCCTTCTGATTCCCAATCCTGACCCTAACCCTAACATAAACAAGCTTTAAAGAATTTTGCTGAGCCACAAACCTGGCACACATTGAAAAATTGCCTCGTAAAACATTGTGGCCTTCGCTATGCTTTGGGCAATTATAATCTCCGATCATGGTAGCGTTATCAACAATCGAGGTGATGACCCGACCTCTTAATCTCATTTATCTACGTAGAGTAGAAGCATAATAAATTACTTTATAAAAAAACATTTCATTATAGGAAGTTGCATTCGATTTTTTTCTTTTCTATTCGTTTTTAACTCATATTTCGACACAAAATAAAAGTGGCCTCATATGTAGAACGCAAGAAAACCCTATAAACAAAATGACTACAACACACATTATAGTGAAGTAATTCACTGTAACTTATATTGAAAGAATACTAAATATACTTTACAAAACTCTTTATTATATCAAGAGTTCACTATAACAAAAGTGGGCTGTATTTGGACAAACATGTTCTTTTCGTTATATAAATTGTGAGTATATTTCAAAACTCTACAGTTTTTATCGAATTTTTAATTTAGTACATTAATGCATATTGGTTTATAAATCTAATTAAAATCGAAGCTTACTACTTTATAATGATCCCTGGACATGACGGGCATGAAATTTTAAGTTTGTATTAATTGAGTTTGTTTTAGAACTCTACAATCTTTTATAGCTTCTATCGAATTATGTATTTGTATTAATTGTTTTATGAATGCAGATTCTTTTATAAATCCAATTATAGCCAAAATTTACTATAATTAACTTTTTTTTGAAATGAATCCTAGATACAACGAACGTGAAATTATAATTTATATTGGTTGAGTTTGAAAACTATATTCGATAATTGTACAATATAATTTAAATTTAACAATTCATTTTAAGTCTGTTCGAGATTATTATTCAGTAACTAAGTTTATGTTTAGAATATGTTTAACGATTTATTCTTGACTAATAGTTTGGTTTTATCTTTTAAATAACAATTATGAAAGCTTTCCTTTACTATATTGATGTGAAATTACGCACCTAGACTGACAAATAATTTATTTTTTTTAAAATCATTAAAATTAATTCTTAGCGACCCGATAGCAGACATAGAACACCTCTCCTTATAAAAGTTCAAAATATTATTTACAATAAAAATTATAGAATAAACATATGAAACTTTGAGCTGAAGATCTTTTCAATTTAACTAAGTAACTTAAAATTAAATTTTGTAATTATATAGAACAAAAAAAGAAGAAAAATTTTAGCTTAAAAACTAAATTAAAATTTTATTAATTTTGTCTATTTTAAAGATGTAACTTCTTTAAAATAATTATTTTACAATTTTAAAATAATTTTTTTTTTAATGTTAAGGTAACCTCTTTGATCTTCAATTTTAAAATAATTATTATATATAATATTATATATTAAACTATTTTTTTTTTCTAAAATGATCTATTTTAATTTTTTAAATAAACTTATTTAATATAAAATTTTATATATTTATATTTGTTTAAATGTATTTTTTAAATCTTTTATTAAATAAAAACATATTTTAGATTTGTTGTTAATTGAACTTTTTCTACTGATTTTTTTTTACAAATTTGAAAAAAAACATAAAATTGACAACAACTCAAAAACAAAGAAAATATACAAAAATGTTATAAAAAAAAAGAAGCAAAAAGATAAAATATATAGAAATAATATAGAAATATAGTAACTGAAAGAATTAAAAAGCAGTATGTGGTGACCTAGTAAAGTGATCAGGTTGTTAACTCTTCAAGTGGTAGATTGGGTGTTTAAATCCTATTAATAGTAAAATTTGGATAATCATTTATATAATATTTGTATTATATTAACTATTACTAATGATTAAATTAGAATATTTGTAATGGTAGTCATACTAGCATAACTGGCAGGTCATAGGGCATCTGTATAAGATTAGAGTTATACAGAGAAATACAAACTAACAAATCAGGCAGTACAAATATTAGATAAGTCTTTGTAACTATATAAATCTATTGAAATTGAGTAACAAGAAATCTATTTAGAAAGACTCAAATAGAAAGGTAGTTAAATTTTTAATAGTTCTACTGTAAAAGTTAGCTTAGAAAAATAAATACCAAGGTTATAATACCTAGTTTTAGTAGTTAGACAGGCAAAAACCTTCAGGTTGAAGTTTTGAAGATATCACCAATCAGCTATTAAAATAAACTAAAGGAAAAAAATATTGAGTCAACTTAATATATTAATAGATTAATCATAGTTCTATACAAACTATCTGAATTAAAAATTTGATAAAAAAACAGATAAAAAGACAGGAGTATACTAAAGTATTAGAGTTATGCTATAAACTAGATGCTAAGGTCTAAGTGAACTCTATAAGAGCATAATAGTTTAATAGTTAAGTCTTGATTGCAAGTATTGTTTTGCTATAGTGATATCTAGGTTAGCTGTAAAAATAGATACAAAAGGCTCTGAAGAGTTTATCTTAAAGATAAAATAGTTTTAAGATTGAGATAATAATCTAGACATTAGGTATGACTTAGTAAAATAACAGATTTACAAGTTTAAAAGATTTAAAGTAGAATATCCAAGCAGGAATATTAGCTACAACAATTAGTAAAAAACCTTCAGGCAGATTTTTTAAATAGGGAATATAGAAAAGTTATACATATAGTAAATTGTATACTCTTTTTATAAAGATTCACTGAACTATATTTATCATTATTAAATAAAGTTAAAAGACCCAAAAGGTCACCTTAAAAAAAAAAAAAGAAAATTAAAAGGTATGGTAATAAGAAAACCTTATAAAAACAAAAAAAATTTAAAAAATTTTTAGAACTTTTGAGAATTGTTATTAATTCTGAAAATAA